TGTGCTTCAACACTTGGTCCGGTGAACAAATCAAAGCTGCCTCTTGCTCCCAAACAGTGAAGCCAACCCTCCAGCACTTTCTGAGTTCTCACGACTTCTCAGTCGCAAGCCAGGATGTCCTTCGAAGGGCAAGGCTTCTGGGCGCACAGGCTCGATAAAGAATGCGACGGGTTGCCTGCAGATTCGTTGCCACTCGACAAACTGACTCCGGAACATACGGTTTGTTTATTCCCTCACGTGCCCTCGCCGCAAGCAGAAGTATTCCAAGGCAGAGGAGAAGGATCAGAAGATACGCATCCTCAGCAGCACATTACTGCATGTTTTCAGCTAGCCTGTAAGTCCTCTTCTGATGCTGAGATGCTGGCCATTTGGACCCAGCAACATCCCTAGCACACCGGCCTCGTGCAGGGCAGGAATGTACCCGTTGTTGTAGATTGAAGATCAGTCATGAGATTCCACACTTGATGCATGATCACTACCAAGATGCCGAGGCACCATGACATCATCCGTCACCTGCCAGGCCAGGTGTGTTTGCAAGGGATGACCTGTCGTCCAACTTTATCTTGGAATTAGTCTCTACCAAGAGCTTGAAGTCAGTGAGCGACGTCTCTATGCCTCCAGGAAGCACCACCATTTCTACTACACCAGGCTGGCTCCGGTGCTGGCACTCAAGGTTTCTGAAGGCTGCGGTGTGCAAAACAAGAGAGACTCGCACCACAGACAGCTTATGACATCTTCAACGGATTCAAAAAGCGCCACAGTATGACACATCATTGCAAGAAGGCGGTTTCCCGAGTTTGCGCTCGAGCTGTAACATGTTCTGTCGCCTCTGGCTGCGACTCCAAGGCTCTCCGCTCTGCCCAAGTTGCCATTCAATCTGATGCCGGCGCAGGCCAAGACGAGACTGTCCTACTGCATGCTCGCCGCAGGAATAACCGAGCCGGCGCAGCGTCGCCGTGCAGCAAAGCCAGTGCCTTTGCACGGCACGACGCAATCCGTCGAACCGGACTTTTGGAGTCTTCCGCGTCCGGCCGTTTCATGCCGTTTCTGACGCTTGTGACGACTTCGCCCTCTCGCGTCTCACATTTTGTTCCTTGGGCAGTCACGTGAAAAACAAACCGCAAAGAATGACGCTCTTCTTAGAGGCCCTGGCGATGCCGGATTCCACAGATTGGTGCCTTACCGGCTGCTTGAGCGCAAGCTTTGCACACTATTACAATAGCAAACAGAATATACTCAGAATATGGCAAAAACGTCTGCTCGACCGTCTGAGTTCGACGCGTATCTGTGCATTCTCTTGAATGTTGGTTGTTGCTCGCCCGCCCTGCGTAACCTCGGGCTGTGACGGTTAGGCAAGAGTGCAGGGACAGCTTAGGCCTATGCAGACTGAGGGATGTGCAGTTGTAGCAACAACTGAGCGACTGCTCACATAGTAAGTGCCCTGGACAGGTGCATGCCGCAAGACAGCGCAAACCTTGCCATCGACGTTCTTCTTGCAAATCCACAGGAAGGCACATCGGTGCAAACACGTCAATACAAGTTGATCGGACATGTACCCGCCTCAACCCCAAACAGGTTCAACTCGAGCACGAATCTTCCGAGCCACAAAGCCAGCAACCTGGCATCACCATGCACAAACCTTTCTGCAGACACGGGACCCGGCCGCCCGGGTCACAATCTGCCGGTTTTGCACAGACAAAACCTGTCCAAAGGCATTGCCTGTGCTCACAACAGGGCAGGAGAAAGCCATCATGGGTGTTTAGCCCTTGCATCGGGGGACGTTCAGCAGGCATGGACGGAAGGGTCTTATATGGTCTTATGAAGCCTGTTACAAATTACCGCAAATAGTGCGGCAGCGGAACTGATTTACTGCGACAGCACTGCTTAGGAAAAGAATTGAGCTTGTTGTCCACTCACGCTCGCCTTTTGCGAGAGATGCAAATCGAAGCTAATGCGCATGAGTCACTCCCAAGAAAAATCAAGTCCGCAGCTGGCATTTGGACCCCTGCTGTACAAGTTCAGCCTCTCTGTTACTTTCGGTAGATGCAGCAGATGACGGCACATTCGAAAAACGACGCTTGCCAAGCGCCAGCGATGGCGAATGCTCCAGAGCCAGATGCTGCACCCAAGTCATGTTGGCAGTACCGGTCTTTTGCATCAGAGCAGAGGGGCAGTCCAAGCCGGGATCAGGAATTGGACGCATCCACTCCCGCATACTGCCACTGAAATTCGACCGAGCTCGTCTTTGTTGCGTATAAGTCGCAGCAGGTTGTGATCCACAGAAGCCATGGTACACAAATGCGCCTGGATGTCGAGAGCGGTAAAGCGGTGGAACGAACAAGCTATGACTCCACTTTTGCGTTAACAGTGCGCACCGTCCGCGAGTTGGTCCCGGTTCAATGGCCTGTCTGGTTGGCTGGATGGCCTTTGCCTGCGCCACTTCCTGGTCCGGGGTAGTCTGTCTGCGCTTACTCTTGGCCCTCTTGCTGGTTCTGGCAATTGGGTCCATGCAAGTCGGCTGGATGGTATGCCGGTCTTGTGGTTGCTGGTGATGCAAAGCTGAGACAGTGATGGGCAGTCTGCTGGACGGTATGTCCCAGCTTGCTGGCTCCTTGGTCCGGGTTGGAGCTGTCCGGGCCGGCAAAAAAACTGGAAACGAAAGGAAGGGCGAGAAGGCCCGTAGGGCCGAAACCCAAAATAGTCAAGGACCCTAAATGTACCGGGTCAGTAATTGGTTGGACCCAGCTGTACAAGACAGCTGCAAGCACAATGTTTCACTTGTACCCGTGCAGCTTTGCTTGGAGAATATTGCGTGATATATTTCTGCCAGTAAAACTCACAATCTCGGATCCGACAAGAAGCGCGACGAAGAGGGAAACGATTCTGGATTGCGTTCGGGTGCCCCAGACATACAGATGTGGCAGCGCCAGGGTCCGCAGCGCTTTGGAACACGTGGAGATGATGGAGCTGTCTTTGGACCAGAAGGCACAGGAGAGCGTCGAAGTTGATGTGTTGGCTGCTAACAGGACTCGAAGTTGCATCGAACCTACTGTGGCACGGAGACGTGCCAGCATCCTCATGTGTGTAATTTGCAGCGTCGTCTTTCCCTTCATCAGTCATTATTAGCCAAAGCTGACCCAACGAGCCGTTCACGCTTTTCACCACTGCAGCACCCGGGCATGAATATCCGTGATATTGATGTACATGTTCAACCAGCTGGGCTCAACCCAAAAGCTCCATTGGCTTGCTCCACCAAGAATAACCCCCTGTTTGGAATTGCAGAGTCTGTTAGGACCCAAGCCAGCTGCAATTTTGAATGGACAGCTGTAGCAAGCGTCCGATTGGAAAGTGTAGAGCGTGGTTGTCAAACATGCGCAGCGGTGATAGTTAGATGCCGTTTCCAAGAGTCGGGCGCAATAGCAGCTAAGCGTACATCTCGGCTGCTTGCTTGTTCCACCAAGAGCATCTGGGCAATGACTCTGTGCACGAGAACCTGCAGAAGACACTGTCAAACCGATGTTTATCTCTGATCGGTACAGTAGCACCATTTATGCCATATCGACAGGGCAGGCACATTAATTACCAGATAGCCGACAGAGCTAGACGGCTGCATTCTAGCAAAAGGCGAGAAGCTTCGGAGCCTTGATTTGAAAACTATGTTCGGACCACCAAGAAAGGTGCACAGAAAAGCCAAAGTGGGTTGTGCCACGAATGATCGCCCAGGCAAGTGGATGGCCTGAAAGATTCCTGGTCTGAAGAGGACGAGGGTTTAAAAGTAGCAAATACAAGACCATGCTCAGGATACTGTTAAACCCATTCCTATCTGCAGCCGGTAAATACCATTTTCACATGCCAGATGCTGATTTTGACGGCAGCAAGCGAAGATGGGCTTGTTCCACCCTGAACGTGAACACCCCAAGTGCGGCTGGAGTTTGACTAGCCTACATCGGACCCCGACGCAGGTGCATGTTTACTCCACGGGAAAAGGCAAGTGGCTTGTGACACGCGCTCCCAGGAAACTGCATAGGTTGGAAAACGAGCATCTGCAGAAATGGCAAGCACGCAGTCGACTTCTTCGCATGAAAACAACAAAAACGGCCGCAGCTTCGCCAGCACTTATGAGATGCAGTTCATCTGACTGGAAAAACCTCATTTGCTGTCACATTTTCTTTAGCCGACTGCATTCTATTCACCAGACTATGCAAGAACATGCTGGCATGAGAGCATAATGATGAGGGATGTTTTAGCTTGGGTCGACATTCGTGCACAAACTTACTGCTTGGGATCTTCGCTGGTATAGTTTTGAAATTCTAACTGGCTGATTTTGGAGCCCTTTCAAGTCCTTTCAAAATAGGAAGCTTCGATTAAGAAATCCAGGCACCCTCAAGTCCGGAAACGTTGGTTGATTAAAAGAGCGCGTGCTGCAAAATCAGAAATCGAGGGTGCTCTTACATAAAACACATCTGGTTCTTAAGGAGCACTGTCGCTGTACGTGGAAGACTCCACTGAGTGCGCGGCTACACTTTGTGTTATGCTCACCGCAGAACTAGTTGCACACACAAAACCAGTCCATGCAAGTAATTACTCTCTCTGCAATCAGTAAATCAATGGCCCAACCAGGTTTCCATCACATCCCACACCAGCTCATCATCTGATCGAAGACTTCTTGCATCTTCTTGCAGTCAACGCTCAGCCCGTATTGTTCCAAGCGGGCTAACCAGAGACGTCAAAGCAGGGCGACATGCGTACAAGCTTAGAACCTTCAGGACCACCACCTTGTGAACATCGCCCAGTTTCGCACCCGGAACCGACAAAACGGAACCGTCGATTCTGTCGTCGGGATGTGCTCTGACACGCAACTCTTTCAACGTTTCACGTGCTTAGGATACAATTGCTCAGCAACGTGGTGAATTAAGACCTTAGCCCAACGTGGCAAGTCTCTTTTTGAGTGCTTATGGCTTATGTGGCGAACACACAGGGCCCGGCAGTGCACGAGCCATTTATGCCTCTCCGCCGACACGTTCTAGAAAGTCCTTCCTTGTGAGAATTCCGCAAAGCTTGCAACCACCACGGACAACGGGCAAATGCCTCAAACCCATCGTTCGAAACAGCACATAGGCGCGGCGGACAGTAGCAGTGTCCTCGATGGTGTAGGCTCCGGCATTTATGTACGGGTTCAGATCCACCTCTGTCTGTGGCCCAAGCAAGGAACTTCCACGCGAAGGCAGAGCTTCAGATTGGTCTAGAGGGCAGCGAACTCTCTGCAACAGCTTCAGCAAAGCTGAACGGCTAAGCATTCCGCAATACTGCGATGTACCTGGTTCTACCACGGGGAAAGCATTGTGTGACGTCTCCAAGATACGCTCCAAGCGAGTGACGCTTTCTATGCTGCCGACAGTTGCAACATCGGCAGTCATTATGCAGGACACCAGGGTAGTGTTCACATGTGCGGCATCCGCAGGTAAGAACGGGATGTGCTTTAGCTGTATATGGATATCATAAATACCTTCGTTGAAAAGATTCCCGACACTGCGCGCAACAATAACTGCAAAAAGAATCGGCAGGCTGTACTGCGTGTTCCCCGTAGCCTCAATCAGAATGACACCCAACGACACCGTGATACGTGCCATTCCTGCTAGCGTCGCTCCTGCACCCACGAGTGCATACATTCCCGGTGGTGCGACTCTGCTACTGAGCAACTGAAGACTTTGTCCAACGAGGCGTCCAAGCACGGCGCCGACCAGGAGAGAAGGCACAAAGAGCCCACTTGGAACGCCAAGGCCATAGGTCCAACAAGCCAGCAGAAAATACATGATTCCGAAGAGGCTGAGCAGTCCAGGGTCATACACGTGTGGATCGTGAAACAAGACTTTTATAGCATCCTCGCTGGGTGTCACAAACAGACCGAGGCCGGTTTGGCCAGCCAAGGTGTCCTTGCAAATCAAGTCGAGTTCACCGGGCTTGTGGGATCCGTGCTCCACACCCGTGACGTAGCACTTCTGTGAGAGCGTTGCGGGGACGAAGAACACTGCGGCAATGCAAGCGGAGACCAGCAGCACTTCCAGAAACCGAGTCCAACCTGAAGCCCCGACTCGGCGTATTCGCCAGAGTGTTAGTGGAATGTTCAGCGCATTAAAGCCGGCCCCGACGAGGCCACCAAGAAGTCCCAGAGTCACAAAGAACGGCAGCTCCCAAATGTGATAACTCGTCTTTGCACCTTCGAAATAATCACCAAAGGTGAGGACTCCAAGTGCACCAAGCGTGCCAAATCCAATCGAGTCGAAGCCCCCCAGAAAAAAGTTCAAGGTCAGGGCAGACGCAGACGAGCAAAGCAAAGCTTGCAGAAGGACCTTAGCGTTCCAAAATGATGAGCCTTCCTCCAAGGCAAAGAGCATTCCACCTATCGGAGCACCGAAAGCGGCCGCCACTCCTGGGAAGGGCAAAGAACGTGTCAATGTCAACTCTCGACACTTCTCCCTCCGCTATGCAAACTTAAGTTTCAAAGTTGTCGCAAGATCACAAGGTCAACCTAGTAACAATCACTGGCCCGTGAGAGATAAGTCAATGGCTCTGCTATCAGTTAAGACCCTCTTGAATCAGGCCTGCTGCACCACCGGCTGTAATCAAATCTCGTAGTTCAATATCTCGGAGCATGTTGGATCCCAAGACAACGTACCGCGAGAACAATGCCCCGATAATTGCACCACTGTGGATCATGGGACCCTCCTTGCCACAAGGGAGTCCCGCAGAAACACTGAAAAGAACCCCACAGGCCTTCGCCAGCAGAGTTCGTGATTTCACAACAAGCGGTAAATCTATCCCGTTCAACCGACATTTGACTTCAGGAATGCCACTTCCAGCTGCCAGAGGTGACACAAAACAGACCAGAGCTCCAGCGATGGAAGCAAGACAGGTGCAGAACACGACGTGAATAACCATCAGCAGCCACGGCCTTGTCCCTGCTTTGACAAGGTCTTCCATTAGGCCGAATCGAAATTTTGTGAAGAATTCAATGCCATAGTCAATTGCAGATGCCACCAAGCCAGTGACAATACCTATCAGCACCACTGCTACCCACTTTGCTACAATCCGACATGCGGATGTCTGCCTGCTGTCCGACGCACTTTCATAAACGTCGAAATCGATAGATTCCACTGTGGGCCTTGCCCCGGTCGGGTGCGGTGCCAATGCCATAGTGGATTCAGGTCGTCCCTGTGGCGGGCCGATGGCATGGCAGCATAGCTTCGCGCATGAACCTTTCGCAAAATGGCTGAAAACGCGGAGCGAACATATGCACGGGTTGACACGACAACAGTCTGGTGCCCAGCCAAACGCGTAAGGCTGCACCACTTCCCGATGCGGCAAGCTAAAGCAACACTACAGCTAGCCCCGCAGAAGCATGATGATGGTGATGATGATCACAGCCTTGCCCGCGAGCATCAAGTCAACCAGCCTTCGTCTGCTTGACTCCGGCGAATGTCCACAGCCGGCTTGCGAGGTCCAGGTTTGGAGCGACCACCTCTGCCGCAAACAAAGGACAGCAAAAGACTTCCAATATCTCATTCGCGACTTGCTTGGCGGAGCACATGAGCGTTAGTTACATCGGGTTAAGTTAATGACTTACAAGGAGTTGCGATGGGTTGCCTTGAAGACGTCCGAGTCCTCTTGCGCGTGTGTTGCCACCTGTCCCAACCGGCACAGTGATCACCAGTCTTTCCAGACAGCTGGGTGACAGGCCTCTTTGCAGGCTCGGAGAAGCGTCAATGACTCCACGTGATGTGCAAACACACCAATACTGCTCCCTGCCTTTTGATGACTGATCTGTTCCGTCAATGCGGAGACGCATGCACTAGTCACTAGCACCAATTTACATGAGTTTGTGCAGCAAGGCCATCCATTGATATGTGTCCATCAAGCATAGTTGGCTTGTCGTTTGCATGTCAAATTTCGTGCGCTCGTCCGAGCCTCCACATGCCTGCCGGGCTTTCGAAAAGTTTTGTGAGACTGGGGTGCCGTCCTCGAGCTTCTGTGAGAGTAGAGCAAACCAGGGTTGGTACGGGGCTTGTTGGGGCTTTCCATTGGGGGGTGCGCGAAACACGTTAGGTCACCCACTCTAAACTCGCAGAACGCTAAAGCCAGTTGCATGAGGTATCTTGGGATAAGACCAGCTCGACAGAGGGTTTTTCCACATTCTTGGGGCTTGACATGGAGCATCCCAAGAGAGTTTTTCCACACGTTTGGGGCTTGACAAGGAGCATCACACAAGGGTTTTTCCACATCTTTGGGGCTTGACAAAAAGCCTCGCAAGAGGGTTTTCCACACGTTTGGGGTGTGACAAGGAGCATCCCAAGAGAGTTTCTACACATCTTTGGGGGTTGACAAGGAGCCTCGCAAGAAGGCTTTTCCGCATCTTTGGGGCTTGACAAGGAGCAACGCACGAGAGCGGCAACATTTGTGGAAACTCTGTCGTGTTTGCGGAAAAGTTTGCGGAAACATTTTTGGAAACCCTGTCGTATTAGCGGAAAAAACTTGTGGAAAATTTGTGGAAATTCTGGCAGTGTTTGTGGAAAAACTTGCGGAAACATTTGCGGAAACTCTGGTCGTGTTTGCGGAAAACGTTGTGGAAACACATGTCGTGTTTGCGGAAAAGCTTGCGGAAAACATGCCGAAGCCGTAAAATTCTAAACTTCAACACGTTTTGGCATGACACGGACATGTTTTCCAAAATCTTTTTCCGCACATTTTTCCGCAGACCGCAAATGTTTCCGCAGGTTTTTCCGCAAGCACGACCAGAGTTTCCACAAATGTTTCCGCAAGTTTTTCCACAAACACGACGTCGTGTTTGTGGAAAATATCGGCATGTGTTTCCACAACGTTTTCCGCAAACACGACCAGAGTTTCCACAAATGTTTGCGCAAGTCTTTCCGCAAACACGACAGACTTTCCACCAATGTGTCCGCAAGTTTTTCTGCAAAGACGGCAGACTTTCTGCAAATATTTTCGCAGGTTTTCCTGCAAACAAATGTCCGATTGGAGACTAAGTCTGCGGAATCTTTTTGGTCTGGACCCGAATCCTGTGGAAAAACGCATCCGTTCAGCACCCAAAGCTGTGGAAAAAGCTGCTCGGTGCAGACCCCAAACTTGCGGAAAACAGTGCTTGTTCAGAGCCGAAAGTTGTGGAAAACCGGGCCTGGAATTGTGGAAAACGGCTCTTTGCACCACGACTTGCAAAAACCTTTACAAGCTGCTCATATAAAGGAAGTTAAAGTTTAAGAAACGTGTTTGGCGCACCCCTCAAGCTTTCCACTTTGAATGTTCAAGCATCAACCACAGAAGTTCAACAAAGGCAGCTTGCAAGCCATGCAACTGCAACAGCTCTCAAACGTACCAGAAACCCCAGGATTGAACGTCGGCGCAAAATTACTTAATCGTTTTATCTGTCCGTTTGCTTTGCGTGCTCGTGTCTTGTTGAAGCTGCCGGCCTGGCTCAGCGCGAGGAAGTTTGTGATTGGTATTGGCCAAACTTGGGCTGCATCGTCGCTCTTGCGCATAACTGACAGCTGCCGGTGTAGCATGTTCACATCCATCCCGGCTCGATGCTGCTTTCCCCGCCGGCTGGATAAGAAACTTGCATTGCTGGCAAAGTGTGCATGCTGGCACCTTTGGTGTTTGCAAGAATGAGGCAAACTCGCAAAAAACTTTAAACAGGGTCGAGAAGGCTCCAAAGGCCTTGGGATGCCTTAAACCTGAACTGCTCGGCAGCTTCTCGAGGCAAGACCAATGGTAGCACAGAGTATAGGTTTGGATCAGCTACAGGACGCGGCAAGGGCTGTGGCCTCAAGGGCCCTCGAGAGGGAACTATTGCAGGACATAGGCTATCAGGTGTATCTCAGAACGATCCGCAACTCCAGTGCCAGATGCTTAGCCAAACTCGGCTCCGACCTATCAAGGCAACTGTCATACTGCAATCCTAATGTAAAGGACCATGCCTTCAGCTGGCAGTCCGGGTGCCTGCTGTCCCAGACAACAAGCTCATTGCAAGTGAGAGCGAGGAAAGGAATGCTGACTTCAAGGCTCTCACTGCATCGTTGTCCGAGCCATTTCGGCGGACGCACCGAACTTTGGAGATTCGCGTTTTCCTGCGAAGATTGTTGCAGATCGCTGCCCTCAACTGCCAGTAGCTTTCGGACCCTGCGAGCCTCAAGTGCCCTGTGCTCGTTAAGTGCTCTGGCTCGGGGCCGGTTGAAACATGTCTGGCGGGGTGAAAGCAACAACACCTGGCAGGAGGACATATTCTGCATGAAAACTTGCTGTCACAGTCTACAGGCCAGCCAGGACTTGAGACTTGACATGACCAGCCTAGCAGACGGCAGGCACGAGCGCCCTCGTAGTGTTACCACGAATCACGAGGCTGTTCACTCGCACAGACCCGCACGGCTCGCAGATGCTCGCAGACACCAGCCTGGGGCTGGTTCTGTGAAGGCCATTGGCACGAAACGGATCTCTCTGAAGACCGGAACCAGTGCCGACTGAAGCCAACGAATGGTGAAAGTTGCAGAAAGCTGTCAAATGCTGGTTGCTGTGCTAACTGCTCTGAAATTCAGGCCGGCGAAGTGATGGCTTCTGTGGCGAACTGCTGCTCACCGTGTTTTCTTTCGGGAGGAGTGATCCCATGCCTTTTTGCACTTTGTTGTGCTTCGGTCACGCAGGCGCGGGAGTTCCACAGCGCACTCGGAAGTTGCAGGGCTGAGGGAGCGATGACTCACTTGACCTGGGCACTTCAAGGAAAAGAGATACCAAACTTCTTCAATCATGCCATGGGCCAAGCCTCCTCCTTTTCCTTCTTTGCTTCATCCTTTTTGTCTTTGTCCTTCCCATGCCGACGACATGTCTCTGGCATGCAGAACTGAAACGTTAGAAGTGTCTGTTGAAATCCTTTGGCTCCGCAGCTTTCTCCTGCCACAGCAGCACTTCCAAGCATTGACTGGGGACGAGGCTCGCCTGCCTTCTGCTGCTTGTTCCTCATCTTGTTGTTGATCAGGTTGTGGAGCGCAACAGTCGATCGAAGCATGCTACCAAGGTACAACGCCAACCTGAGCATTTTGATTTTGACCGCTGCTTCTCTCGCCTTGCATGCCACTGCCTGAGCTCTAGTTTGAGGTTCGGACATCATGTCGTTTGTTTCGGTCGCGAGAGATCTGACTAGTTCTTCGGAGTCCTGACATCTTGACAGCATGTGCTGATTGCTCCGCTCAGCCACCTTGGCTGTAGGGCCTGTAGGGTTCCAGTTTACTGCCTGTACCAACGGTCGGCCACAATGTGCGCCTGATCCGGCATCAGATTGAAAATCTCCTGCAGTTGGTATATGATCTCCTGCAGGCAGGCTTGACAGCTCGCAGTCTCGAGTCGAGAGACCCCAGCAAGTCGCCTGGTTCATAGGCAACTTTCCAGCTACCACTTGGCTCAGGTACTGTGAGATCTCGCGAAGTCGCATGGCCAAACCCTGGCAGCTCCAATGCTTTTGGGTGGGCCTCCGGCTCATGCACCAGCCACATCCAGCCACTGTGCCTTTAGGGCGCCGATCTTGTCACCCACGCGAACAGCCAGAGTAGAAGCCGACCTGAGAGAACACGATTCATAGCTGAACACTGAGTGCGAGGGAAGCTAGAGTAACTCAAGTCCAAGTTCTTCACGCGTTCTTGATATCACGCAGAAGGTGCTCGACGCCAACTTCTTCAGCCTGCCGCACGACCATCACAGTGAAGCCATGAACCATGGGACCATGTCTATGAAGATATCCAGTGGCCTCGAATGCACCGACGGTAGAGTGCACATGCAGAAACGTCCGCTTGAACACCTCTCCAATTTTGCCGCCCTTGTCATCACTTTTTGTTGGTTCCATTTGTCACAGGTCACGGTCGTGGCGCCTCATCCGAGGTCTGCTCTTGGACGGAGTAGTAGGCTTCCATGGGCAGCTCCAGGTCCTGTTATGGACTCACGAGAGCTAAAAACATCACCGCAGGCCTCTCTCTCACTCGCTCATTCTCTCTCTCTCTCTCTCTCTCTCTCTCTCTTTCTTTCGCAAGGCTAGAGGGCAAGCCCCCACCCAGAGGGCCTCTCTCTCTCTCTCTCTCTCGCTTAGCCTCTTTCCATCCCTTGCTCTCTCCATGAGGCCACTCTCACAGGCCTTGCCTTGGGCTGCACATCCATGACCACCAGCACTGGCTCAGGGCAGTACCTGGCTGGTGTGCAGCAGCTGCTTTCCCATGATTTCTGTGCTGCTTCTTGGAAGGTCGGCTGCTCGCGCACCGTCGATAGAGCTCATGGATGCTGAGGTCAGAGGGCTTAATTTTTGGTCCTGTTGAGTACCACCCCACGATTCGCTCTTTGGTGTTCACCTTGCACAGGTTATCCGTGTGAGTGGGCCTACACAAAGCATCAGTGCTATGAAGCAGGTTCGGAGGCCTTTTTGAACATTGCGAACATGGCTTCATGATAGTTGTGATCCAGAAACCACACCTTCCGGCACAAGGCACATGTATGTGAAAGAAGAAAGGTGGAATACGACGACAGCCAACCAAGCCTGTGGGTCACGCGGATCTTCCTCAAAAGGTACTGCAAAGCAGTTGGTGATGTGAAGGCTGTAGTCCGACACCTTTCCAGGCAGCTTCCAGTCTGCTCTCAGTCCGACACCTGCAATTCTACCCAAAGGAGGGGTTCCTCGGACTTCGGAGATTTCAGATGGCATTTTTGACTAGAAGTCACACCCTGTTTCGCCTCACCCACCAGCGTTCCAACCACTCGCTTGGTTGTGCCCTTTGCAACCTGGCGTGCTTCAGAAGGCAAGCTGTTGGAAGATTACAATACTGTTGCGGTGACCAGAGTTAATCTTTTTCCATGAGACTCGATTGTAGTGGTCCACCACGCCAAGCAAGACGATGGGGTGCACCACCACGTCACGTCTGTCCTGAATACTTCATGCTGCGTGATTGACGGTCTAATATCTCGATACATGGCACCAAGACGGTGGAGCACTTGGATAATCTGGAACCTGCCTTTTTGACTTCTTTCAGCTTCTCGGCATCCTTCTTGTCATCCTTCTTCTCATCCTTCTCATCCTCTTGATCATGCATGTTTATGCAACAGATATTGGTTATGCCCTCGCACGGGCACCTTGCTGTCCTTTTTGTCTTCTGCCATGTGGGCGCACACCGTGCGAAGGCTATTTGGAGAGAACGCAACACACTTTGATCAATAATCCGAGCGGAAGTACTGACATTACATGCGCTGCATGCAGTCGTCAGCATTTCGCGGAATCTCTTACACATCTGCTCGCAGAGCGCTCGAGTTTTGCTGGCAACGCGCCTGTCCAGGACTCGGAGCTTGAAGACTGGGTCTTGCTCTAAGCTGTATGCATTCCATTTTTATTCTCCGGCTGGCTGACCGCCAATACCCTTCATCACACCCTTGGCCTCGACTAAAGCTCCAACCTCATCGTCAAAGGATGTCTGCCTCAACTGGAAGTTCTTCAGCAAGAAATCACAATCCGAGTGTAGTGTTCCGGCAGCTGATATTAATGCTTTCGCAGCGGAGTCGATGTTGGCTTGATCTGTGGCGGCATCTGCCAAATCGCCCTGAGCCCACGCACAGACCCAATGCATGCAAGAAGAGCAAAACTCGAAGCCCCGGGAAAGGAGGCAAGTGCCTGAGCTTTCGTAATGGCAGCCTTCTTGCTTTCGACCTGGTCGAGACACGACTTAGCTTCAATTTCATCGAAGCTGCTGATGGGATCGCTGCAGTAAACTCCTCTAGAACATTGAATGTGAGTGTCAAGTGTCACCAACAAACTGCGGCCTCTGCACAAGATCTCTTTAATCAATAGAAGCTTGCGGCAGATTAAATCTGGTGCAGTCTCGCGCCAGGAGTCACGTAAGTTCTGAATCTCACACACGCCCTGGTCTGCGCTGGAAAGTTGACCACGATGTATCTGATCTCTAGCCGCTTGCAAGGCCTCCTTCGTTTTCGACGCCACGCTGGCAGTGGTTTCCTTGGCAAGCTTCTCATAATCTGCTTGCGCCCCATTCTCGTCTTTGATCGCCTGCTTCTCGGCAGCCTGGACCGAAACTTCAGGATTTCTGCAACGAGAAGTTCTGACACCTGCCTCAGCTTGCTCGCTGATGTGCTGCAACATCGCCATGACACCCTTCGATCCTGCATTCTTCTCGTAGGCACCAAAGCCTTGCGGAGCAGACGGGTCCAGCGCGTCGGAGACATCTGCCTGTTTGCTCTCCTTGCATGTCCGGTTTCGAGTGCACAAAATCTAATTACCTGCCAGGTCTGGAGTTCAACAAAGGCAAGCAAGGTCCTCCGAGGTATCAGAAAGCTCAAGGAGGGAAGCTTTGCTGTAATAGTCCGACAGCACTTTTAGGGCGCCCTTCAACAGCTTTTGTGTCTCACGCTGGTCGTCCACGCCATTCTGGAAAGCCTTGTTTTGTTCCTCGCGTTCTTGAGCTGCCTTGGCCAGCTCGGTGTTCAGCGTGTCGATTTCTCCTAGAATCTCATCTTTCTCCGCAGCGGCCTTCTTGATGTTTTCTTCAAGCGTTTCCAGCAGAATGCCGACATCTTCCTTCTTGCGCTCCTGCTTCTCTTGCTGAAGCTTGTTACCGGCCAATTGATCTTTGCAGAAGTCCCGCTTCTTCATTTCACTGCCCTTCTTCTTCTTTAACTCCGATATCCTTAATTTGTGGGAAGGGCTCAGCAGGCAGTCAAGCAACACCGATGCGTGAAAATCAGGCCAAGAGGCATGTCGTCGATGGCCTTAAACACTTCCGCCAAACTGTCCACCCTGGCCCTGAGGGCCAAAGCAGATAAATGAGGGTCATTGAAGCGATGCGTGATCCGCAAGAAGTTGGACAGGGACTTCGACTCGTCACTCCGAAACGGATGGGAGTGTTGATGTTGGTTTTGCTGCAGGAAGCTCAATCCTTTTTTCTCAAGCTTGTCGCGGCCGTCCGTCAGAACTTGGGTTGCTTGTCCAATCGCCCTAACTTCTTCTCTGCGGGCTTTCTGCCTGGCATCCCATTCAGCATCATTGTTCGCACACTTTTGCTTGACGGACTGCAGGAAGTCTTGATCCTCCTTCAATGCCTTTTCTGATTCGGTCTTGTCTTTCTTGTCATGAGCCAGCTTCTCGTCGACAGTTGCCTTCTCTTTCTCTTTGACTCTGATCTGCCCAGCACTTGTCTCAATTTCCTCTGACTTAGCAGTCTGGAGCTTCTGGAAGGCTTCTTTGTTGCCTTCCTCTTCGTCTGCGATTTCTTTGAGGTTCTGCTCGAAAGTCTCCAACATCTGCGAAAGCATGCCGAAGATTTCGCCTGCACTCTGACCCGGCTTCAGCAACTGGAGCAAGTCTGCTTCTTTTACGTCCCGCAGGCCAAGGAGGCCAGCTGGTCCAATCTGAGGGTCGGCCAACCTGCTCTCACAACACTGCACACGTCCGAGGCACCACGGCTCCTAAACTTCCTAAGGCTTACGGGCGGTATTTGGGAATCCAACCTATGGCGCATGGAGAACACTTGGCGCAATGCAGACTTGACCTGCGAGGCTTTGCTTGCTACCTGCAGGAAGGAGGTCGCGCCAGCGTCCTTCTTGTTCAGCAAGTTGACGGCCTTCCTCACAGCTGCGATGGAGTCCTTCAAATCACCAGATTCGGCTTCGAACTCCCCGCTCTGCTTCTTTCGTATGGCCGAAGCTTGTTCCAAAGCTTGCTTGTTCTTCTCTTCTTCCTTCTTAAGACTCTCTATCTCCGGCTGCAGCCGTGCAGAAAGGGCAACCCCCTGCTCGATCTCTGCCGACAGCGACTCTATTCGAGCACCTCCTTCATCAATGGCCTTCTGCTTGGCTTTTTGCGTTTCTGTGCACCAGCATACCTGAGAATGTCACACCTTTGCAAAGTCCCAACATCCACTGCTTTGCTCAGAGCCGGACCATCTTGTCATAGATATCTTCGTCCTTTTTCGCATCAACTTCCAACTGCTTTGCCATGTCCTGTTAAGGCGGCTCTGCCCTGAGACAAAGACTAACCAGGAAGAAGAGCTCTCCTCCAAAAGAGACACCACTTTGGTGACAGGATCCTTCTTCGAATCCACTCGCAAAGATGCGAGACATTGCAAAGGTGCCCAGATCGAGAATAACCTCCATGATAACATGGCGCAACTACGTTTCAAGCACACCTGATGGCCTGAGCCATGAGGCTGGTGTGATCGCTTTCCGAATATGAGACATGGGCACCATGCAAACACATCAAAACCCTGCGCTGCATGACTCGAACATACCCGGACTCTGTACAGACAGCGTCAACTTTTCTTTGTCGAGATTGGTCACAGGCCGGGAGTCATCTGTGAGAGCCACTCGGACCTCGCACGGCCCATGGAGGCACCCGCACGAATTCGGTCCGGAAGTCCCCGCTGTTCTGATCTGAGGCTCCCGGGCTCGATGTCCTTCAGCGTCTTGTTCTTCAGCTTTATGTTCAGAGCGGTCTTGATGAGCCTGGCGCGTCGATCTTACGCACTCCTACAGCCCCCCCCTTCTTCTATGCCAGCCGGACATTTCAGAGTCCACCGCGCTGGGTGCCTGACATCAAGAGCTGAGAGTGGGAAGGCCTTATGGAATGCAGGATGTGACGATGCAGACCTGTTTCAGAGTCTGCAGGATTTGCTCAAAGGACTGGTGAAGGAGAGCGTCTTGGTTCAGCCTGGTGGGGTTGTTGCAAAAGCCTTCACAAGCGTCCATCAAGATTCTGAGGACTGGGCTTCAGCAGCGCCAATGCAATGCGGAAGATAATCTTCACCTCGCACGCCGAATTTTGGCAAGTGCTCCGTGCCCTTGCCGCCCTTGCCAGGAATCGCACTCCCTCTGCCAGGAATATGTCCCAAACACGCACAACGGTCGAGAAGGGGAAATTGTAGATGCAGACCTCAGCTGTAGTAGTTTTCGTCTCCGGAAAGCCAGCCTGATTGCTCTCAGGCGCTGGCAGTCATGAACCATTGGGAGGCATACATGGTCGGCTCCACACCTGTACGTCTGCACTAGCGCTGTGCCAAAGTGCATTGTCACTTGCCTTGCTCGGCCAAATGCTCGTACAGCTGAGGCCTTCGGCACGATTCTGCAGAGATGCACAAAATGCAATCAGCAGTCTGAAAGACAGTGCGGTGACTTCGCTCTTCGTTTGCATGTTGAAGTCTTTTGGCAGGACACGGCTCAGGCCTGGCCCCTAAACATCCAAAAACCCCTGAAGCCTTAAACCCCTGAGCCTTCTAAACCAACCTGAAACATCCGAAAACCTAAAAACCCTAATCCCTAGTTCCCGAAACGGCCCGGGCCACGACACGTGTGTCAGCCCTTGCAAGCCGGGCCATCTCGCAGCTTCACAGCTTAGCAGTTCTCGCAGCTTATCCCTCTATGGCCCTGTTGCCGGCTGCTGCTTTGCGTCCTGCCGGCATCGCTTCTCAACCAATGACCAGTTACAAAGTGGCTTGATCTTTTGACTGCACGACTGGCTTGGCCGTGAGGCACGTCTTGGTATCGTTTGCTGCATGCACTGCCGTTGTCAGTGGTCATCGGCAAGAGCATACTCTGAGCCTCGAGTTCCTCCAACAGATCCTCTTAACTGCCGACCTTGAAGTGAAGCATCCCAAATTGCACTCGGTTCGGCGTGTTATAGGCATGTTGTATGTATGTATGTATGTATGTCGGTAGAGATGACAGATGTACTATCGATGAACATGCATCCTCAAACGGGGATAACGGCGCCCTTCGAAACGGACGTTTACATCTCTACCGCCTGCCACAGGAAACCGGCTTCGTCCTGGATCGGTTGAAGGTATGTTCTTTTTGCGTTTACAGATGGGAATCGGAATGCTTGACACCGCAGTTTTGGACAGGCTAGTCGCGCTTACGGCCTGGCAGGCTCTTAGGCGGGAAATAGTGGATTGCAAGTAGCGCTAGCGAACATACCGCAATCACCACGCCTGTCACACGAAACAGGCTTTAACATAGGATTGAGAATCTACTGAAGCAACCCGTCTCGTGACATGACATGATCTGAAAAGCAAGGAGATGACATGAAACGACATGATTTGATATGATATGACATGACAGGGTATGATTTGGTATATCATGGCATGAAACAACACCTGATGATGCGACTTGGCATGATATGGAACGATAAACGCGAAGTCATGCCTTCGACAAACCAAGGGGAAGCCCGTTTCCTGTGGCAGGCGCAGTAGAATCCATGTCATTCATCACCATGCATCCATCGCCATGCAAACATCAACATGAAGAACTGCAACAGAGAGAGTAGCATAGTGTATCTTCAAACAAAGTTTGTCATCACCCCCCCCGCCTCACCCTTCCCACACCCGCCCCCTACCCACAAGGAGAAGCAAAAAGCACCAGGTGCATTTACATAGTTGTAAGTGTGCACAGCTTCACCGTGGACTTGACCGAGTCCAGCTCATTTTAGTATCTTCAGATCCAGTACGCATTCCATGTTCTTGCTGAGGCCAACATGCCCAAGCAGGCTCAGAACCCGCAAGAGGAGCAACGCTGTGGACTTCCGTACATGAGACCATTACACTCATTACACGGGGATGATCTCCTTTCCCTGCAAGTGAAACCTACGTCGAGTACTACTGCGACGGCAAATTTCCTCGCAGCTGTTGGTTTCAGGAGACCTGAATGACCCTACATCACAGGAAAACATGCTCGGTCGTATTCAAGCAAAGCACCGGTAACATCATAAGCATGGCCTGTCATTCTTCGTAGCTCGTCGTCTGAACCTCGCCTCAACAATGCCGCATGCCAGTGAAGGGATCCTCGATCCCGGATGAGAGCAGGAGACCGCAGAACAGGAAGCAGGGCGCAATGAAACCCAAGAGCCAATCAGCCAGACAGCCGCAAAGCAAATCACTGCTTTCTTCGTGTTGTGACTTCACTTGGTTCCATCCCCACTCTGCGTCATCTTAAAGCGAGCGCGCGGGGTTACAGAAACAGGCAAAATCAACTCACCTTTGATGCTCCAGCTCCAAGCTCTCAAAACTTCAGCTCCGCTCTGCCGCTCTGCCCGTGCTCTGCCCAAGGCTCAGGCAGATTCATCTCCAGCAGTCTTTGCAGCTGGAAGAAGTACTTATTGAGGAGCGGGAGGTTCGGCCTCAGAGGCAGGGCGCTTCAGCGTGTGTTTGCTCATGTGCCGGGCTCCAGGCATGAAGAGGCCTGCCATGCGATAGTTCTCAAGCAGCGATATCAGCATGAGAAACGCCTGTCACACACCGCTTCGCGAGATGTGCTTGCAGCATAGGCCATGCAGGGGCCGCGTCATCCTCACCCATGTACATCAACAAGACCCCACAGATGAAGCCCATTCCCTGACCTTGGCACCAAGCACCTGCTGAAACGTCGGGCAGGCTTGCTGTGTAACCTCTAAGGCCTCGGCAGTACCCAACTTCAGCGTTGAATACTGAATATGCTCGTAATACATTCAGCAGTTGCTGCTGACCCAGACCTTGCTTATCCTGAGTGGCCGCACCAGCAAACGCATCGCCTATCAGCGTCGGCCGCAAGCCCAGGCGCAGGCGCGATACAGCACATGCTTTGGGAAAGTTCGGTTAATGTCCCGAACCTCGGTGCACAGGATCTCTTGCACCCAAACGGCTATGGCTTTGCCATCCGCCTGGTCTCAATGCAATGTCGATTACTGCAGAGACTCGGAGAGAGAGAGAGAGAGAGAGAGAGAGTTCAGCTGGCCTATCGCACTTGGCCAAGCTTCTGCTAATAAGCCGGTCGTCATGAAAACATTTTTGGCTGTTGTGTATGCTCCACTGCAGAGGATTTCACCAGAAGCCATGGATCAAGGAGGTCTGCAGAGCCGACTAAACGGTGAACCGACGGATATCCTACCGCAGCAGCAACATAAGCTCGCGACGATGTCGCCCTCACATGGTGCTGCCTCAGCACGTCTCATCTGCTCGTAGATGTCCTCGCGCTCCCGCGAATGCAGTGTTTCCAATCCGTTTCAAACCGCGGCATGGCTGTAACCGTGTCTTGCGATAGCTCTGCTCAGCGCTGGCTAATTGCGGCAGGAAAGCTTGCCATGGGCTGCAAAGCAGATCCTGTCGTTCCGGCACTTGTTTGACACGGGGATCGAACATAGAAGGGGGTGAGGTGGTGTTCATCAGGTTATAAGAGTTTAGCAGCTTTGCCCATGCGACACGATGTGTGATGTCTGTTTTTGGCTTACCGCTGCTCAAGCTCTGAGGGCTTCCTCTGATTGCCTAGAAAAAGGCAGAACCTTCCAGTCCGAAGCCACAGGGTTCAGGTAAGAGGAGAGTGGCCAAAAAGGAACTTCTCAAATCATTGCTGGTGCAGCGAGTGTCTGGCTTTGGGGACCGCCTGAGAGGAACCCCGAAAAGCCTTGCAAGCGTATCAGTATGCTCTCGCATCTTTGTTCAACAAACACGAACAGCTTCGTTAACCACTGTTCTTTCGAGAAGTCGCTCGAGAGCTTCTTCATCCTGCTTGGCAGCATTGATCCCTGGAACTCTTCCATCTTGTGTCTGCTGGCGGGGTACAGAGCGCGAGTTTGAAGTCCGGGTCCTGCAAGGTCTGGCGACAGTTATCACAGGGCAAGCCCTTCCTCTCCTCGACAACCCTTGACACTTCTGCGGATATGCCGCCCAGCCCAGTACATACTGCATCAACTGACTCGACGCGCGAATGACACCAGAAGCCGAGGTTGGTTGCCGCAAGCTTCAGCGGGACACGAGCACGGTTTCACAAGCTGTCGTTGGGTAGGGCTGCGTTTTGCGCCGAGGGTTGGGCTCAACACAAGCCTCACAAGTGGTGCAACTCAGTTAGACGGGCTTGCAAGTGCCGTCAGCCTTCGAGCTGTCTGTCGTCGAAGATCGAACATAAGCTCTCGCTGGCATTGAGCCCGACAGGTTCAGGCTGGCCCCGAAGCTTCGGCAACACTCCGAACTGCAACTTGTGCCGACATGTCTTTGAAGGGATGGTTTTCGTATCGTTTCTCTCATAGGTGGCCTGGTCGCTTGCCCCAAACTGGTTTCACCGGCACCTTCATCAATCGGTTGAAGATTCTAGCGCCTATGGAGCAATGCCCTTCCAGCTGTGTAGAGTCAAGGCCGCTGGACCCGATGCGGTACGTAGGCCCTCGGGCGCCGCGGTCGCCTTCAGGCCCGTTTCAGCAGTGTAACAAATCGTGAAAGAAGCAAGTCGCATCAACTGAAATTGACCAAGGCCATTGGCGCACAAACTCTTGGGTCAACTTCGGGGACATGAAGGAGAGTCTTGGCCGGCACGTGGCTTGAAAAGAAGCACCGGCTTCGCATGGGTCTTGCTTATCACCCTGTTTCCGTTATCTCTTCGCAAGCTGCATAGCCCAATCCTGGCGCCAGGCACTCGAGCCTATCCGATCCTGTCCCTTTCAGCTTTGAAGTTTGCGAAGTTCTGATTCCAAGCGACAAGTCGACCTAAGAGTCGGAGAAGCAAGAGTTCAGCCAGACGGTTCGACAATTCTGGCCGTAGCTGACAATGCAGACCTGAGACGATGCAGGAGATATATGGACTTCCGGGAACCAGCAAAAAAAAACCTTATCCCTGAAAAGCCCCTCGAATCCCCTCGACCTTGAGAGGTGCATCCTCCTGAGGCCGCCCCACAAGCCGAGGCTTCCCGACAACCTGTGCCATCCTCATGCGCGCAGACTCTGTCAATCGAACAGCGGCGCCGGAGCGGCCGATTGTATGGGCTTGGTACTCAAGCCTCAGGCTTCGATCAAGAACCGACGTTCTCTGAAGGATCACAGGTACCGCGAGCCGACAGGTCAGTTGCCGTCATGCTCTGCCACACACCGTCCACCCTGCTACAAGCACAGCCCGTGCCGAAAGTCCGCCCAAGAACTGCAGCCACCGTGTCCTTCGGGTGCTTGTGCAACAGCTCGCGTGACAGCGCCAGCTTCTGCCACACCTCACTGGCTTAGTCCGCTGGCTATAGCTGTCACGTTAAATGATTGTACTGTACAGCTGCCGTGAAATGAGGTACGGGCAGAACCACGGAGGAACTCTGGAATGCCTTGCCGGATGAGTTCCTGGTGACACCGCCGCGGTGGTGACAAGTGTGCACCGGAGCCGAAACAACCTTCAGTAAACCACCGGGCCTTGCATTTGTCGGGACATTTGGCTCGGAACCGATGGAAATCAATGCCTTCGGTCTTCGCTCAGGCTTCACAACCCTAAGCCATGTGGACACCTGCGAGCCGAGGAGCAGATTACTCGCCATTGCTCCAGATGTTCTACAGGATCCAGAAGCTTCGAAGCGGCCTTGACTTCTTCTTACTCATTATCGGCGTGATCAGGACTCTGTCAGGCCTTGGTGTTCTTGCGCTCGTCCTGGACACCAGCAATGCTTCTCCTCCCAATTTCTCTACTTGGCAAGCTCGCATCCTCCTCCTCATCGGGTTCGGTCAGAAGACATAGGTTGCTTATTTGTCGATCGATCATCTATTTGTCTTGAGCCCAGGAACAACGCAGCACGACTATGGAGCGACATTGGCAACGGCACGAACCATCGGCATATTGCACAGCTAGAGAGCAAAGTCAAGGCCGTGCAGTCGTGCAAGGGTGAAACGTCTCTTATTGCTCTGGTGCCGCATCATCTGCCTCCGAAGCGGCCACGAACTCAACATCATGCAACAGCAACAGCGATTGACGTCGTGTGTCCGCTGCCTTTTTCTCTTCGGATGGCTTTTTCCCTCGGACAGCAAAATTCACCGACATCCTAGACTGGAGTTGCAAGTGAGTCGTGTGCTCGACAGAGGGCTCACACGACAGTTCGACAGGAGTTCTACAACCTCTGTACTTACTCTAGTGTTTGCAGGACATGAAGGCACGCTAAGCGCAAATCCCATTGTGTTGTTCTTGAGCAAGTAGTACGCCAACCACTCCACAGGGTTCTCTGGGCGCTCCTTCAGACGACATTAAACTGGCATCCTTGGTCTCAAACGTGCATTCTGGCCTCAGCTACAGCATTCATCCCAGGAAGGAGGGTTGGCACGACATACCTGCCGCCCAAGTATTGTTGGAATGCGATCACCTACAGTCACGCACACGGTCACGTGTCTAAGTACTGGCGAAGAGGAAGATCGTGCATTCCTGGTGCTGGTCGTTCCTTGTCAGGTACAAATTGGTACAAGTGTGCCCATCGGATACTAAACACTCATTCAAGTTGCGCTGCAATTGAGTGATATTGAAGGGAAGCATAACTTGAGAAGAGGGCGACGAAAGCTAGGGGAAAGGAAGCGTATCCGCAAGCAACAGACTTCAGACAGAAGCAAACTGAGGGACCTTGCGAGGGGGGGGAGGGGGGGAGACCTGAGGGTAGGGGGGAGGGCCCCGTGCCTTGGACGCTTGGCGTCCATTTGACGCAATAGTGTTTTCTTATATAAATCCCAAAGTTGCCACCTTCCAAACCTTTGAGCGTGGCCTTCTGAATCCAGCTAATATAATAAAAAACATGTGGGGAGGCAAAGCGCCGTGCTTCTGAATCCCACCAGTACTTGGGCGAAAATATGTTTGGACGCGCCAGTACGTGGGAGAAAGCATTCTGGTCGCGGTCCCAAATCCGTGGAAAGCCATGCAGGCCGTGGTCCAAAACCCTTCAGGATTTTGGCAGGAACCGAAGCTGAACGACTCCTGCCGGCAAAGCCTGCAGGTCGCAGCTTGTTTCATGTTTTTTGGGTAGTTTTCTTCGTTTGCTAGGCTTCCTGTAGGGACCGAGTGCTGCTGCCGCAGTCGTTGAGACCCGCCCACGCCAAAAAACAACTACGTGCGAGCAGACGCTGGGGGACATGGCTCAAGGTAGGTTGCATCTGTGAAGAGATCAGCATCACTAAATTCAAGAGTTCTGAGATGCGACGCGCAAAAAATATTGGCAGGGCCAGCAAACTTCGCGGAACCAAAATTGCAGAATCGGTTTTGACTTATCAGGACTTCACAAGCTCATTCTGGGACGCCACTTCGACAGCTACGTTTTCAAGCCCCAAGTACTGTTTCAAGAAGTGGGCGCTGAGCCCTTACATGCAGCAGCGACGCTACTTTACATGTGGCTTCACTGTGCTAGTAGTTGAGTTGCGCGATGGAACTCAGAATGCACGTCGTTCTTACTATGGTGACCTCGAATTATAAAGCATACACATGTGCATACATGTGGGCAAAATAGATGCAGTGAGTACTTACCGGTCTAATATATGGGATCGCTTTGCTTATAAGTGGTTGGTGGGCTTACTAAGTGGATGATGGACTTATGTTGGACTTATAAAGGTGAAGACCAACTGACTTACCAGAGCACGGGCTGCGTGAGTTAAGGTCAACTTATTGTGGGGTTATTAAGTGGGATATATCGGGTGGATGTAAATATGTGGTATGAGTCACTTAGGGTTGCACTTATGCATAAGTAGGGTAAGTAGGACTTACAGGACTTACATAAGAAGGAGAAGGGCACACACGTCAGTAGGTTAAGTGCACTTACATAAGTATAAGTGAAGATAAGTCCATATCCGTAAGTAGGCTAAGTAGCTTGAGTGGGCTCCAGAACAGCGCGCTGATCCTACTTATCGGACTTATAGCCATGACGCAGCGGAACCCACTTAGCGGACTTAGCCGGTAACCCACTTAGCCTACTTACTCGGAGGCCACGTCGCTGGACCTATCTCCCACTTAGCACCCTACTTATAACTGAATTACAACTCAACACGACGTCGATCACAACTAAGGTTGATTGATAAGCACCTCAAGTAAAAAATAAATCCATGATCTGGTTATCGCAATTATAATTTAAGTACACTAATGTTGAAGCAGTTATATATCAACAACAAAACATCGTCGGACTATGGTCCATTGAAAGCATTTGGAGGTGTGGTTACCTAACTCATAGTTCATGTTACTGGACTTCATTAGTTACTTAGTAACCAGAGAGCACAGATCATGCAATAGCTTTAATCTATACGCATTATAAACCATGCACGCCATTATATGATTGGGCCATGGATGCTGTGAACTCACAACACATCAAACATGCACGTCAATGTGAGGCTGGGTCATGCATGCTGTGAACGCATGCTATGATTATAAACCATGCGCATCAGAGCGTGTGCGTCATGCATTCTAAATGGATGGGCCATGGATACTGCATGCGCCCTCGCAGATCTCAGGGCCCTCCGCGCCCTCAGCGCCCTCGCGCCTCAGCGCCCTCAGCGCCCTCAGCGCGCTCCGCGCCCTCAGCGCCCTCAGCGCCCTCCGCTCAGCGCCCTCCGCGCCCTCCGCGCCCTCAGCACCCTCAGCGCCCTCAACGCCCTCCGCGCCCTCCGCGCAGCGCCCTCAGCGCCCTCAGCGCGCTCCGCGCCCTCAGCGCCCTCCGCGCCCTCAGCGCCCTCAGCGCCCTCTGCGCCCTCCGCCCTCAGCGCCGCCCTCAGCGCGCTGCGCACCCTCAGCGCCCTCAGCACCATCCGCGCCCTCCGCGCCCTCAGCGCCCTCCGCGCCCTCAGCGCCCTCCGCGGCCTCAGCCTTCCGCGCCCTCCGCGCCGCGCCCTCCGCGCCCTCAGCGCCCCCCGCGCCCTCCGCGCCTTCAGCGCCCTCAGCGCCCTCCGCGCCCTCCGCGCCCTCAGCGCCCCAGCGCCCTAAGCGCCCTCAGCGCCCTCCGCGCCCTCAGCGCCCTCACGCTCAGCGCCCTCCGCGCCTTCACAGCGCCCTCCGCACCCTCCGCGCCCTCCGCGCCCTCATCAGCGCCCTCACCGCCCTCACCGCCCTCAGCGCCCTCAGCGCGCTCCGCGCCCTCAGCGCCCTCCGCGCCCTCAGCGCCCTCAGCGCCCTCCGCGCCCTTAGCGCCCTCAGCGCCCTCCGCGCCCTCCGCGCCCTCAGCGCCCTCAGCGCCCTCAGCGCCCTCAGCGCCCTCAGCGCCCTATAAGCGCCCTCAGCGCCCTCCGCGCCCTCAGCGCGCGCTCAGCGCCCTCCCCGGCGCCCTCAGCGCCCTCAGCGCCCACCTCAGCGCCCACCTCAGCGCCCTCCGCGCCCTCAGCGCCCTCCGCGCCTCAGCGCCCTCAGCGCCCTCCGCGCCCTCCGCGCCCTCAGCGCCCTCAGCGCCCTCAGCGCCCCCTATATAAGCGCCCTCAGCGCCCTCCGCGCGCTCAGCGCCCTCCACGCCCTCAGCGCCCTCCGCGCCCTCACCGCCCTCCGCGCCCTCACCTCCGCGCCCTCACCTCCGCGCCCTCAGCGCCCTCAGCGCCCCCAGCGCCTTCCGCGCCCCCAGCGCCCTCAGCGCCCTCAACGCCCTCAGCGCCCTCCGCGCCCTCAGCGCTCTGAGCGCCCTGAGCGCCCTCAGCGCCCTCCGCACCCTCCGCGCCCTCCGCGCCCTCAGCATCCCTCCGCGCCCTCACCGCCCGCAGCGCCCTCAGCGCCCTGAGCGCCCTCCGCGCGCTCAGCGCTGTCAGTGCCCTGTCCCGGGGACATGTGCTCCGACTTTGGCACAGGATGCGCTCGGCCGGTGAAAATTTCAGCGTCTATTTGACGTGTCTTTCGTGCAAATGTCTTACACTGTTGCAAGCAAGGGCATGTCAAATAGCCTGCAAGTGTCCATCCCACGGGAGGGCCCCCCCCCCCCCCTTCTACGCGCCGCACCTTATCCTTCGAAGATACTTCATGAACGAGGTGAAAGGGGGGGGCGGCACCCGCGGCACCCCCTCCCCTCCCACCCCCGACCTTAACGCTTGGACGTCCCACCTGATAAGCTCCAAACCCTGTTTTTTCCCTAGTGGCTTAATACAAGGTGAATTGCTAAAGGACAACTCCCGCAAGCTCAACAGAGCTAGCTTTCGTGATTGCACACCGTCCGTCTGCAGTTTCCAGGCCGTGCAATCACGGCATTGTGCTCAGCTTGGCTGACTTTTCATACTGCGGGCAATTTTCTACGTTGTGCCACATCGGGTGGGTTCTCTCCCGTACAAACTCGGGCATGCTTTCTTTGCAACTTCATGCCTCAGGTCTTCCGTACTTCCTGCATTGCACGTCGTGACTTCGCGGAATGCCCTCTCCGAACTGCAGCACAGCTGGCAACGTGTGGGAGAACAGAAGCATGCCACGACGTACTTGCCTTCACGAGCCCTCGCTCTCAACACGAATTCCGATTCCGAGGCACCTCCATTGCCAGCTTCTCAGCTGCAAGTCCTTCTCTTGGGTTCGGATACGCCTGACCAGCCAATCCGCGGTCATGTTAATTGACATGCATTATGTCCGTGAAAGGCTCTGAGATTTCAGTACAAGTTCGGCAAGGGTCCGACCGAACAACCCTCATCGCGGCTGCTACACGTGCCACTGTCATAATTTGAAAAAGTGGGCAGTTCCCTCTCCTGGGACTGCTTTGGTAACTCCCGCTCTGCCTGACAACTCGTTCGGAGCTCGCGAAGCTTCCGTCAGCACTGTGCGAGCAGCATGCAACCTAGCCGAATGTGCAGTCCACGACCTCGGCAGACATGCTGTAGCGGAGTTGCCGAACCTGGTTAGTGGTTGCCAACTCCGCTCTTGTAATGATCAAATTCGGCACCCGCCTGGCCTGAAGCACGCAGCTCGTCAAGCGACACCCCTCCCTCTGCTCTCCACTATATAAAGCTGCGAAGGTGACATGGCAGGTTACGACGCAGGTGCGACCGATTCAACACACATGGGTCCATGGGTTGAAGTTGTTGAAGGCACGGGCCCGAGAGTGCTTGTGCCTTTTTGTCCGTCTCGGCATACCGGCCGCCTCCCACCTTTCTGGAATCGGCTGCTAGGCCTTGGCCCAACCTCGGCATCAGCACAAATACTTGTATCGACGCTTCTTGACAGCTTGAGCAACAGCTGCATGCTTGCACAGACTGGCCGCATATGCCGTGAGTCGCAAACGTTCCTTCGAGTGTCTCCGGCACCACATGGGCAATGTCCCAGGGGCCCTGACGAGACTGGCAGCATACACTAGACATACGGAAGATCGTGACACTTCCAGCACGCAACCCATTGAAAATGACATCCACTGCCTACAGTGGCATACGCAATCTTCATCTTCTTAGCACGCGGTCCGAGCCGACTGCAAGGTCATTACAGTCAGGGACGACTGCACTGAACGAGGGCGACCTGCCCGAAATCGATCGAGGCTCGGCCCGAGTGTTTAGACCCCTTGAACGCTCAAAAACCCTGTAAGCCCTTAAACCAAAAAATCACCCATCCGAAACACAAACAGTCCCTCCTGATGCCATCCAATCCCCAAACCCCACCGCGAAACCCCAACCATCCCGGCATCCCCCGGCCCCCTTCTCGTCCGACACCCGTGCCGGTGCAGTGTGCCGTGATGTGCCGTGCGGGAACATCCACAAAGGGGTCGTGCATCTTGGAGGTTCGCTCGACAAGTTCGGGCCTCTGTGAAGCATTTTCCGGACCCAACGGCTCAAAGAAGCGGATTCTCTTTGCTACCACTACGGCTGACAGATCACCTGCAATGTGGTCTTCTCTACTTCGATCTTCTGCCCCTCCAGCCTGAATCTCCGTCTTGAGATGTTGCGCCGACAGAAATAGAACAGGACCTCTCTCAGTTGGAGCCACTGTTGGCAGCTGAAAAACAAGCTGTAAGCCCAAAGCCCACAAGTCCGATGAGGATCCCCGCCAGCAGCAGAGAAACCTCGGCTGTTTCAAGATGTTTCTTGCATTCAGAAATCCGAGTAGGACATTCAGGATATCCTGGGACACGGACCCCCGACTTGAAATCCAGTGCAATGGCAACCGCGAACAAGAACGGCAGTACACAGGCCTGAGCAGATCTGAAATGCATGATCGCGGAACAACACCAGGTTCAAGGCTAGGTGAATTCAGTGAGAAACATCTAGCAGGTTGAAAGGTTTCTTCCACTCCCAGGATTCGTATTTATGGCCTATGCAACCCGATGCCAGGGCCTCTGCCGTCGATCGACCGCAAAAATGCGGCAACGCGAAGACCTGATTTGATATGGCTTTCAGGCAGTACCACGGCTGCACTCGATTCACGAGGTTGATGTCCCTCTACTGCACAGCAGACAACTGCTGCAGCAACAGAAAGTGCTGCCAGATACGACCAACAGTTTCTACGACTCTCCCTTGTTTGCCCACCACACGGGTATAAGTATATCACTGCTGGCTATCATGCCAAACCCTCGCATGTTTTCCGACCACAAAGACAGAATGCTTCGCAGCTGCCAGGCTTACGCCCTAAAGCTGAGCCGATCGCCTCCATGGCGAAGCTCATGAAAGCGAAGACCTGCAGTTTCAAATCTGCGCATGAGCTGTAATCCATTGGCTCAGCAAGATGCCTCAAGAGGCGTCCGCAGCCTAGATGCCAGTATCATGGCGGACAGCACCGATGCATTGAGGGCTATGGGTCCGCCAGGTCTGGCACGGAGAGCGCAACAAGAATGTGCTGAAACAAGCTGTAAACATGTCAGATGGGCAGGAACAGCTCCTGCCGACAGGACCAAACCGACGCTGACGACCCATCCTGCTAGAGGCAGAGTGAGGGATTGAGGGCAGGCAGCGGCATCAAGGGAAGCTTCCAAGGCACCGACACCGTAATCGTACAGTATGACATGCAGCAGGAGCAAGCCACAGGCAAAGACGCCAATAGTGTCATCGCCTGGACTTGCAGGTTGAAAAGATCGTAGCATCGGCAGGTAGCTAGGTACTGTAGGTAGGCAGGCAGGCAGGTAGGTAGGGGCTTGTGTGTGAGTGTGTGTGCGCGCACGTGTGCCTCTGTGTGTGTGTGTGTGTGTTTGTGTCTGTATTTCTGTGTGTTTGTTTGTGGGTGGGTGAGTGGGTGGGCAACGGGTGTCGCTTCCGAACCCCCAACAACGCTGGTGGCCATGCAGGGCAATGGTGGGCATGTTGGGAATAGTGGGTAGTCTTGCTCAGGCTTTAGGGTTTCAAGGCTTAGGGTTCAAGGTTTCAGGGTTTTAGGCTTCCAGGGCTTAAGGCTTTAGGGTTGTAGAGGGTTTAGGAGTTAGGCGTCAAGACAAAGGGTTTCGGGGTCTAGGGCTCAGAGCCTATTTAGGGTTTAGGGCTTCAAGCCTTAGGGTTGTAGGGTTTGGGGTTCAAGGTTTCAAGATTTTAGGCTTCCAGGGTTTAAGGCTTCAGGGTGTTACAGGGTTTAGGAGTTAGGCGTTAAGATAAAGGGCTCCGGGGTCTAGGGCTCAGAGTTCAATTAGGGTTTAGGGTTTGCCGTGGAATAGCGCGCAGGCGACAGCACCAAGCCTGTGTATTGCGTGCTGGCGACGAGCTGTGAAAGCCTACCTGTAGAAGGCGTTTCCTTCGTTCTCTCCCACCCCACACCGTACAAGGCGGCCGAACCATCCAAGCCCAGGTGGGCAGCCTACGCCTGGAGCATTCGCTTCTGGCTTTAGGGTTTAAGTGGGGTTTTGGCTTTAGGGTTCAGGGTTTTGGGTTTGGGTTTTGGCTTCAGAGTGTTTCTCTCATCGCGTTTTTCCTCTTGGGCGGTGCCTTTGTCGCTAGGGCGGAACTCGCCAGAGCTGCTGCCCCGTCACAGCACCACCTAGCCTAAGCTGGCGGGGTACTCAGACATGACTAAGCTCCGGCAGGAGTCAAACGCTCCAGCGGCTGTTAAGCCCGAACCCAAAGACCCTAAACCCTGAACTATCAAGCCTGGGCCTTACTTACTGAAACACAATACAACCCAAAACCCCAAACCTGAAAGCTTAAACTCTAAACACCAAAACCGAACCCTCTGCCCCAAAACCCGTCCACCACCCGGGATCCCCACCTCCAGCGAGCAGAATTTTGGGTTTAGGGTTTCAGGTTTTAAGGTTACTGTTTTTAGGGGTCCGGCGTTAGGGTGCAGGTGTCAGGGTTTAGGGTCTGGGTTTGGGGGTCTTGTTGTGTTGAGGTTTACAGGGTTGCGGGCATGGTGTTCAAGCTGATCTATGCATCTGCGTATGTACATATAAATATATACATACATACATACATATATATATATATATGTATGCATACATATGTCTGTGTGTATATGATATATATGATATATATGATATATATATATATATATATACACACATATGCATGTGCGTATGTATATGTATCTCTATATGTATACAACGATAACTAATCCAAGCCGCTTTCCTTGTCTCCTACATGTCCCTGACTAATTTCCTCAAGGTCAACGCCGTGAACCCCAAATTCCACCAAATATACTGCCCCACATATGCTTCGGACGGGTTGTCCGAGCTGTTGTCGGGCTGCTGTCCGGGTTGTTCGGGGGGTCGGAAATGACTTCAACAAATCGGAATTGACACCCCTTCCGTGCGAGTGGGTGGGCGGTTCGTGGAAGGACGTCACTCCCACATATTGACTGTCCACTTTCATCGCTTTGCAGGACAGACAGTGCCCAGGGGCTGTGTCCAACGAAGCTGCCTTGTGCACTCCAAGCAAACGTGGCGGCGGGCGGGCGGGCGGCCGGGATGGAAAAGCACCCTTCACCCTTCAAGCTGTAGATGGTTCACATTCGAAGTTGCTTACAACTTGTTGTGAAGCAGTGAACGCACGTCCAAACATTGCTGAGCGACTGGCAGCGACAAGTTTCCTGGTTCGTTGCTTTTTCTTTTGGTGTTCTTCATACTGTTCATATTCAGACGCTACAATCAAGTGATGATGGTACACATCGCTTGCTGCAGCGTGTAATGCCAACTCGCAGCTTCAAGCAGCTTCCAACCAAGGCAGACTGAGACAGCCTATCTGAGGGTGCAGCTCCAACTTCGCGTTAGGGCTTGAAGTAAAGGAGCCAGAACCTGATAGCGACGACGCGCTTTCGGGACGATTCTGGCGCGAAAACATGGGTCCAGGCTCCAAGTGGGAAGACGATAGCGCCGACCTGCAAAACCTGCAAAGTCTCTCCCACTCCCCGTCGCTGCGGGCCGAGCCCGTATCACAATGAGATGGCCATGCCGAGGCCGTGGCTTTCAGGACGACGGTGAGAGGCCGCATGCTGACGCAGTGCCCTGGCGCACAGACGTGCACAGACAAGTCTGATCCTGGTTCGGTAACAAGGCAGCAGTGCAGAGATAGCAAGAAAAGAGCAACCCTCCGACGGCAAAAAGCCAACGGAAGTCGTACTCTAGCTGAGCCTTCCACCAAACCTTGCAAAGCATCATGTGCTGCGAAATGCCTTCACGCTCTCCCACGGTAAGGCTTGCACGTTAACGAAGATCACGACCAAGCATAATTGCCGGATTATTGACGTGGTACTGCAGCACAGTTCTTGCAGCCTTGGACGTCGCAAGAACGCTTCAGGCTTCCGGGCTATGCCATAGGCTGCCACTCTTGTGACAAGGAGGCAACTCGTATCGGGTAACATGGGCGTTCAGGACGAGGGAGTTGAGAAAGGAATCGTCGACGTAGTTGTCTTCGAAAGGCTGCTGCAAGTACCTGGCACGATGCAGCGGCGAAGCCAGAATTGACTTTCCCAGTGGCTTTGATGGTGCGACAACTCGAGCTTCTTTCGTCTTTGAGTGTTTGCCACGAATTGGCTGCTTGGTTTCACAGGTACATACCCGGGCCAGCAACGATCTTGGTTTCGCGCTGTGGTGTATTCTGGTAGTTTGTGGACCAGAACCTGGGGCTGTAAGTAGCAGTAGCACAAGTTCATCCAAGGGCGAAGGTCTTGAAAGTGGAGGATCCATGTAAACAAGATCTAACTCGACAGCCTGAGTTTTCAGCTTTTGCAGCACGAGACACGCAGAGCATTGTGTGACTTGTGCGAAATCTCACCGTAACCTAGCTAACAGAACAAGCACAGCATTGGCAGATGTCCCCAAGTTGGTCGACTGTTATCCAAAGCAACGACTTCTGTGTCTTTTCGGGAACGGGACAGCCAAGGCCTCACTTAACCAAACTTGGAGACTCCGTGACACTTTAACCTTAAAGCATACCGGTTGCACAAGACCTTGCTCCACGAGGTAAGAGACGGCCTTGGCGAGATGCTCTCAACAGCGTCTGACTCTCATTGAGCTGAAGCGTAAGCAGGATGCGCGCTGTCCATACCGACCTGGGGACCGTGTCCTTGAAGAGCGGCATGAGTCAAGACGGCACCCTGACACTATCGCCCGTAACACGTGGAGAAAAGGCCGCTGTGGGAGGATGTCTACCTCAACTCCCGGGAGCTTCTGAGCGTTGCTGGCTGGGGGACTGCTTGGTGCTGTATCCTGAGCCGTGGCATGAACTATCATCGAAAGGCTTCTGTATTACTGCGACTGTGCACTGGTTCCAGCCCTGCGGCTTTTTTTTGTCAGCATCGCATGCTGCGGATTCGTAGCATGCTGCGATTCTAAGATACCCGCTGCTTCGCGGCTTCGCTGCTTCAGCTTCTGAGCTCCTAGTGGAGGCGACCAGAACTTTGAGGGCACCAGCCGCAGCTCGTTGGCGCAGACGAGCAACTGCGTTGTTCCGGACATTGCTCTTGTGCTGCAAATACAATGGAGCACTGTCTGCACATGTCTGCACCTGCCGTCTGGCTTCCCTGCTCTACTTTTTGATGGGGATTTGCAGTCCCACAACGAAATTGGAGGCCGGAAGGCTCAGCTCTTTCAAATACCTGCACGCCGGACGGCCGGAAAAGAGGTCTTCAAACCAGAAAATCGCCAAGGGAAACCTAGCTTCATTGAGTCGCAGACTTCTCCGTAGGAGGAACAATATAAATGTAGTAACTTGGAGTCTGTACCAGTCCTGCACACGCAGCATGAGGCATCCGCGGGCGGAACGGCAACAGCTTCACTATGTTGGCACTTCTGCTGAGTGCACCTACGCGTTGCTTCTCGACAAAATAATCGCAAAGAGCATCGTACCTCATCTGCCGAGGCACGGCGGGTGATGAATCTGGAGGTAGATGCACGCGGTACCGACTGCTGGTGAATTGTCAGATGTCATATGCACAGCGTATTTGAGCTGCTGGCGCTGCACAGTCACGCCTGCACTTCCCCGGACACACATCTGACAATTCAAGCAGAAGGATTGGCCTGTCAGCAGCGGAGAAATGCCAGACGGTCGAAAGAGCCCCAGCTCGTTCCATGTGCGCTCGACAGTGGTCGATCTGAAGGCCAGTGGAACGACAGCCGGACAGCATGTGGAAGCATGCGACATATCTTGTACAATTTCCAAAGCTACAGCAGCTTGCCAGCTGTACTGTACTGTGAAGAACTCGGAGCCTTCGTGCGCTGGTCAATCTGCAGCTTGTTTGTCAATGACTCCGGGCTCTCTTTGCCTGGCCCGATCGCTCACGGGTGCCCCGCCCCTATCTTGAGGAATTGATCCGGGCCTTTGACAAAGTTGGCTACGATGTTGCAGCAGAACTCACCCATCTTGTAGAGCTTGACTTTGAACTGAGTCGAGACAGCAGATGCAAGGAGAGCAACGCGAGAGCAACAGCGGAAACTCCGGCCTTGGTGTTGCGCTGGTCGGGCCTTAGTAAAAGCCCGACTCCACTCAATCTGTTGGCTTCTCGAATCCGATCCGTGGTCACGGCTCATCAGCTTTGGAGCCTAGCAGGGCCATGCAAACACTGCAAGCATTTGCCAACTGAGACGGGGTCCGGAATGCCTTCTTTGTCCTTCTTCTTGCCCTTGCCAAGTCGTGCGAATTCATGCTGCAGGCTGCAACGTGCTGAGCTTCTTGTCCACCTCGCCTCTCGCGGACTTCGCGAGGCTGAGTCTTGGCGTGCGCGTCCTTTCTTGGAACGCCTCCCCGAAGGCCGCGGCTGCCGCTCAGATTGGACGACACGAGACAAGTGAGCTGAGGCATCGCACTCAACTAGACGTGCTCCAGGCACAGCCTCAGAGCTCTGACAGGATGAACTCATGGCGCACATTTGGGTTCTTCACCAGCCCCCAACATCAGAGTTTCGCCAGTGGTCGGAATCCTGGCATGCACACACATGCACACCATCACATGTGGTGGCACTCCACGCTCCATTCTCTGCACATGCAAGCCCTGCCCGAGGAGGACCTGCGCAGTTCCAAGCATCGCCACGAAGGTGCACTTTTGCTTTCAGGTCCGCACGCCAATTTGGCCCTGCATGCATTGGTGGCATGCCCGGTCCACCAGGCATGCCCCAGGCAATGCCGGGGGGCCTGGGCTTGGCTACGAGCTGCCGCCGTTGGTGTTGCATCTGGTTAAGGCTCGTGCGGTGCCCACGGTGGGCGATGGCCCCAAGGCCTGCATCACAAGAGCGCGGATGGGGCAACCTGCAACATCAACGTCACTGAGAGTCCGGCGGCATGCCGGGCATACCCCACGGTGGCGGTGGCCAAGCTGGCGCGCCTCCACCCCACATTCCCCAAGCCTGAGCCGCACGGGAAGGCCCAGAATCAGCTAGTAACTTTCGTACGCAAATTAAAGCTCTTAGCTGTTGACATCCGGTGGAGCAGCTTGCGCATCTACGTCATCAACGAAGTCAATGTTCAGGTACCTGTATAGTCAGCGCAGGGACTGGGCGACTCGCAGCCGAGTGGTGCCAACAAGCCAGGGTGGCTGATTCTTCTGCACCTCCAAGCCGTACAGGCTATTCCTAGCGGCGATCGAGCTACTCACCTGGCGCCGTCCGGACAAAACACCTCTGAGATCAAGCGCGCGCTTCCCACACGGCATGTTCTACCACCAGTTTGATAGAAATAACAAACAAACAAATAAACATGCCGCATCCAACCTCGCCGAATGTAGCAAATGCACATGTGCGAGCTGGAAGGTATCGCAAGCCGTGTAAGACTTTGCCGTACCTCATGTGAAAAAAGCTTCGCTCCCATCATGCTGTAAGAAATTCTCCGCTTGCTTTCTGAGGATCATGCGAGGCCAGGACACTCTCGAGCGACTTTCGGGGTACGAAGTCGTCCACATTCCCGAGCCACAACGTGGTCGTGGCCTGGAGCTGGAGCCGGCTGGCGCATTTAAAGCCCACATCTTCGCGCATTTCGCACATGGAAGCCTTTCGAGGCGGCGCAAAGGCAACCGTCAGATTTTTGTGATTCCTGAGCAGACGGTACGCAGTTGCATCAGTTGCCCCGGAGCGGAGCACCAGCGCCGCCGGCCGCCGGATGTCTGCTCTGAGGCTTGGGCTGCTCGCACAGCCGATGCATGGCTGCAGCCGCCGTAGCGCTGCGCAAAGTCACATGCGCCACAGGCTTGCCGAAGCAGGTCAACATCTCCACCTCGACCAGGGCGTCAAACAGAGAGAAAGACAGAGGCCAGACACACGCAAGCGACCAGCAAAGGCAAGCCTGAGCCTGCGCATCTAGGGTTTGAAATGATGCAGGCTGCGTGCATTCATTATGTCAGCAAAGCATTCCAAAGGTGATTTGGTAACAGAGTGTAAGAAAAGTGGGCAAAAGCGAGTTGAGCGCAAAAGGGCCCAGGGGGCTTTTGGATCACCGGTTTCCACGAAACACGAAGGCTTTTGGTGGTCCACCTGTAGGGGAACTGTTCAAAAACACACAGTCAGCTCCACCATGGCATCATGTCCATTCACTGTCTCAACCCTCCCTCCATGCACCCACGTGGCTTTCAAACTGTACGAGTATCACCGATGTAAAATTCGCACGGGCAGTTTGCCGGCAATGCTGGCACCAAACCGCACATCAACCAGGATCAGGGAGGAACGCATCCATCCATGTCTTGCACCACAGCTGCTCTGCCCCTCGATCATCTAAAATTGCATCCCTTTAAATCTGTAAGAAGCATCAAGTGGCATTACAAACCACTCCCACATGTGTACGCGCGTCCCATGCGCCATTCATACGCAGGCTGCAGGTGTGAGATCAGCTCCCGCCGGAAGGCACGTGTAACACATAACAAGTTTATCTTCCAGACACACCGGCGAAGCTCTAGCAGGCATGCTCTCTGATATCGAATCGTCCAACCAACCTTTCGACATGGCTACTGCCGATGCTCCCCACTAAGCAAGAGTACGTGACCCTGACTTGTAGAACCTCTGCTCAACTCGCCACTTCCGGGCATTGGTCATCTTGTCATTATGCTGGATTGTTCAAGAATCTGATGCTGGCAGGGTGAAATCTAGCCCTGTGGTGGAACATGATTCTGCAAGAATGCAAGCCTGCACGATGTCCTTCTGAACAGGTTGCATCAGTCTCCAAATGTTTTCCCCTGCGCGTGATTCATCGGAAATGCTCAGGTCACATGATCATCCTTGCAGGGGTGCCTGTCCGCAGCTCTGGTGGGAGCTTTCCAAGAACGAGGTATCGATTATACCTGGAAGCACATGGCGGATGTGACAGCTTGATTAACCTGGTGGAGGCCCAAGCTGAGGTGATGGCATACCCCGACGGGGCATTTTCATGAAATCTTCGAGCTGCTCTTCGAAGCTTAGTCCTAAATTCCAAGCCATCCTGATGGAGTCTGAAGCATCTCCCTTCTCTAGGGACCCTGCTGTCTGACCATCTGGAAATTGGCTTTGACGGAGGCGTTAGCTTGCTGACCTGGAGACTCAGCTGTCCGAGTTTGTGCAAAAACCGAGCATATTTCACTCTGACGTGCTCATCTGCAGTTGTTTCAACAATCATCAATCTACCAACGCTAGATGTGAAGAGTATATGAAAGAGTCCCGGACTACTGCGACTACAACTAAGAAACAAGACAGAGCTCAGGATTAGCAATGAAGGCAGCGGAAATTTCGAGGCCAAATGGTGTTGCAGTGGCAAGCCGTCAAGCACCGGGGTGCAAGAGGCATCACAGCTGCTTAGTGGCTTTGTGGATCAAAGAAAAAGCAAAACGATGTACAACAAACGCACATGTACGTTGTGGCGGCGGAGTGGTCATCCAGAAATGGCCAGTTGTAGTCAACGAGTACAGCCCGCATGTGTTCTGGGCTAGGCTTCTTCTAGCCCCGAACCAGCATGGTGCCGGACGGACCTTTCCGGGCCCAGAAGACCCATGCATGTTTGAAGCTTTGGAACATGTGAAGTAGACCATCTCATGTCAGGGCTGTGGATGGCCTGTGCTTCGATATACTCGCATCGGTAGAATCACCCGAGAATGAGTATGGGCACGGTTTGGGTGTGCGACATCGGATGTGTCGAAACCCGGTGCAGACGCGTCTACCAGGCACGGAAATTCAGGCAGCTCGATAAGCCAGTTTGAACCATGTTTTCGAGTGGGCGGTGGCAAGAGCAAACACCAGCATTCCAGGCTAGAGGCATGTTAAGGACGATTTGTTCTGCTAGCTCTTGGACAGCTGATGCTCGGCAAGTTGAAAGCAGAAACTGCTTGGATTCAGGCCAGCGAAGCACAAGCAGATACAAGACCGTGCGCTCCATCAACAATAGACATAAGGGTTAACGCCGGAGGACGAGTAAAGAGGCCATGAGGGGCCTTCGTCATGGCTCAATGAAAGCCAACACCAACCGCAAGTGCCGTTTGACTCGGGGAGCCGCCGCATCTGGTTGTTGGCCACGTGCCTTCTTGGCAGGTGCAGCCTCAGCCGCCTTGGTTACTCAGCTTGCACGCACAAGAACATGAAAAGCCATAGCAAGGGCCTCATCTTCCGTCTTCTTCTTCGGGATGAGTCCCTGTGACAAGACATGGCAACACGAGTTCAACATCCCGTCGATGCCACCAGCTGAAACCGAAACGATGCGAGCCTCATCCTTCTCCGACTGAAATGCTCGGAGGCCACGTCCTTACAAAGATTGCGAAAGGCGAAAGGCAGGGACATACGGTGCCGGTCCTTTGTTGTTGCCAGCGCCAGTCCTGCAGAAGTCACAACGCACAGGCCATCAAAGGCCAGAAGCGAGTGAGTTCCAAGCCCATCTTCGGTGTCTTGCCGGCGACCCTCAGTGCCCAAACGGACTGCATGTCTGGGCCACTAAAACCCTGGAAAGTCTCAAACCGGCTGATAGAGTGAACTCAGATCCCCTGGTCCGGCGACCTGACTTGAAAAGCGTCACCCATGTCGCACGGGCGACTTCAATAAGGATGGCTAGGATTGCAGCCTCCTAATGCCAAAACCAAATTCACAACCGCTCACCTGTTTTCATCAACATAGCCGCATCTTGCCGGAGACAAACACTCGACTCGAGACGCAATCGGCACACCATTCCGATCTTCCGGATGTGTGTCGTGTACTGGCTGTGTACCGGTTAACAATTTGTGCAGAAGATGCCATACCACATCCACTTACAGAGCGGTGTGCCAGTGAGCACATTTCGCAGTACAGGGACTCGGCACGGGACTCGTTTCTTGGCCCGGTTGTAATGGTCTGCATCCTGCGGGCCGAACCTGGCGAAGATTGGCGAACCGGCGATCGCCACTGCAACCTGAAAAAGAACGAGAATCGCCGAGAGTCCGACTCTATAAGAACGTCCGGACCAAGCGTGAGTTTCTGCTGGGCCTCATAGGCCTCCATTTAGGATGGATCCCGAACCGCAACGCCACGTCCCGAGAGCAATCTCAAAGTTCAGTGCTTCACCTCACTGGTTTTCGAAAACTTCGCCACCACAGTGCCGTCTTCTTGCTGAAGGTCCACAACCTTCAAATTAATGGCAGACGCATGGACACTGTGGCGATGCAGCAATGCAGGGCCTCACCAAAGCGCTCCAATCGGACCTTGAGCTCGTCCAGATCCTGAGTGCACGCACCAGCACCCAAAGGCCCCCCGAAGGCCGAAGTCCGACGGCAGAGCCTCTCCCTTCACCCACCGGGGTTTGCTGCACCACTATCCTTCTTCAACTCGGCCAGAGGGGTGTCGCGCAAGTTTTCCCCGTCGCGCGATTTCGCGCACCCGGGACTTTCGTGCTGAAACAACAGTTGGTGTCCTAAAGTCCTACTCACCAGCAGTCCACCCACTAGCCCCAGTGACACTAAACCCCAAGCCGCCTCGAAGGCTGAGCCTCTAACCCCCCCAATGCCGGTTTGCGAGAGTCCTCAGGAGCTAGGGCCGGGGCCATTTCGCCCCGCACCGACAGGTGGATGTAGTCAGGATTTCGAGCTGGACCACGATTTCAACACTGAGGTGAGCAATGCCAGCGCACTCTCTCCGACACATCCTCTTCTTCAAAAACTACTCTCCTTTCTTTCTCTGTTTGTCTGTTCTGTGTCAACCTGTACTTGCATGGGTCATGAGTGTGGTTAGCCGAACACCGCTCGCAAAGGCAGGCTTCTGTTTTTGTTCGGTTTATTTTCGTATCACTGCTGACCATGCAGCATGTTGTGCATAAGAGCTGTCCACGTGCACTGCGTGCCATGCAAAGATATTCCGCGACCATCTTTAATGTTGCCGAGCTTTCCTTGACTAGCTGAACCAATATCGAACCTCGCGCAGATAGCACGAGCAGCGTGCACATGTTGTGGAGTAGTTTAGGTTCTGTACAGTGGCCGGCGCCTCGCGGCAAAAGGAGGAACTTGTCTACAGACATAGTAAGGGCGCAAAGCAGCGCTGAGGCTGCCTGCGTTTTGGACACGCTTGGCCTGCACGAAGAAGCACTGTTATAGACTCTACAGCTTCCGACTACGCGCTTTCACCTACGTGGTAACTTACCCCCTGACTTACCCAGTGCGAAACTAAACCCTCCAGGGAAAACGGCTGCGCACACACAGGAGTGCGAGACATCATTACACAGCATGTCGTAGCACATGCGTGAAAAGGAGTAACATTTGCACGGTGCCCGCTCAGAAGGCCACAGCAAAGCCTTGAGTGCTGAGTCCTTCTCTGAAGCGCGCTCAGCCGCTGGCCGCAAGCCACCAGTCGGAGAAGCGCCATTCCTTTGGAAACCCGCCGTAGCAGTCGTCGGCCGGGCGGTGCTCGGCTGGGTTTGCTCCGACGTCAGCCGAACCCTCGCCTTAAGCGTCCTCCTCCGGTCTGGTTGTAGACAGGACGGCAACTTGCTGTCGCTGAAATGGCAGCCCACATCTGTCTCGTCGCCGATCTCTCTACGGCAAAGCCCAGGTTACCCGCGACAGCCTCCCCCAAACAAACTCACTCAGCTCTCTGTCACTGCAGCACCCGCGCGGTAAACAAATTTCACAGAAGCAACAACTCCAGCTAGCAACAACGTGCTTGGATGGGCCTTCGGTCCACCTTGCAGCCATGCGGCATCGGAGGAGATCATAAACAGTAAAGTTAATTACAGCATCCCTCTATTGCACTCGCAAGAGAGCATCACGCCCCAAAGAAGTGCTTCTGCAGAAGAAACTATCATTGAAGAGGCCAGTAGGCCTGTTGTGTACATATATCACCTGAGGTCAGGTCCCTTGGCAGGGGCACCCCAATCTTGCGAAGCACAGTCTGACAAAGGTACTAATGAACCAGTATACATTGAAGGAAGAAGATATGCACTCGCACCCGGTTGATCCAACAGCACCCCGGGCAGACTATGCTTTGCCGACGTGTGTCACCGAACTCGATCTAATCGAAGGTGGATGGGTTAGTGTGAGACCTTGCGCATTCCCGTGCAATGCCCTCGTTGGTTGCATTTTTGGCGGCGGACGCAGACACGTGCCGAACCACAGGTCCAATATTCAAACCAACAGGGCCATGCGTCCAACAACTGATCAGCGACTTTGGGATATGCCCTCCTGTACCCAGTCTCACACAGACAGAGACAGAGACAAGAACAAACACCAGTGATGACTGACAAGGCGACTGAGTGCGTGGCTACGCCACTCGTGAGACCCCGAATATGAAGAGTGTAAGACCTTAGGCAGCCACAACAGTTGAGACTTGATGCATGCTGTCGCGCACACTGGATTATTGCAAGGTGTTTGTGGGTGCAGGGCGGCTTGCCTCCACCTGCAGGGTTCCACGGTGCACGGGCACTTGCAAATTCGGAACACACACACCCCTTCGACATTCGGCGTGGCATCCTCGGCTCAAGGGCTACTTGGTAAGGCCTTGCTTGTCGTCAGGCAACTCCTCCTGGCAAAAAGTTGCCGGTGCAAGCGAGACGTTGGGTCGGAAAATCTGAATGCTGTAGAAATCAGAAGCTTGGGTGCCTTCTTCGTGGCAGTCTCCACCTTCTCTTCCACCTGCTGTGTCAAGACCGGATGAATATTGTTGATGCCTACGAGGTCCTGCCATTGCTAACACTGGCGACTATTTTGCCCTGCACAGCCTCTTTGACCTCCTCCGTCGTGTTTGCGACCTCAAGATCTCAGGAAGCCGAACAAACTGCACTGAATTAGTATGATGGCATGTGCACTTCGTCTGCTTCGCCTCCTTGTCTGCCGTGTCTATGTCTGCACTGTCAGCAGCGATGTTGATGGCGCCAGCCTGAGCACGACGCCATTCGAGGCATCTGGCATGTGCACCTCCTCCCTACGCAGTGTTGAAACGGGTTGCCGCTC